TTTTCTTTCCACAATGAGTCCAAACTCATATTCTAGGCCAATAATCCTATCTTCTCCTATGTATAATTCACTGGGTTCTTAATATCAGTTATTCTTTCATTAATTTCTAGAATTTTGTGAATTACAACTGTGATCTAGTTTCTTAAGCATATTATTTATACTTATTTAGAAGTGCCTGTCTGATTATTTAAATATCTGTACCACCTATTGGGTTCATTCTATCATCTGTTGTTTTTTCCCCTTTGGGTTTGTTGTTGTTGTTGTTGTCATTGTTGTTGGTTATTTGGTCTTATTTCCTGGCCTGACTGGTAATTTTTTTCTGTAACTACTGTAAATTGTTTCAAAAACTTACCATCTCCTGTCATGGTTCATTCAGGCAGAATAGCTTTTAAACTGGACACCATGGCAGGCCCCATACTTCTGGAGCCCTAGGCTTTGGAGTACCCTGCCTAAAAATTTCTAACTTGTCCTCCAATACCTTGGGTTGCCCAGAACCAGAACTTTGATCCAGGTGGAACTTGCCAAGACCAGTCTTGGTCTTGCTGGGTCTTGCTTGGAGGCCCAGCTGTCCTGCCTCCCTAGCTGTCTTAGTGCCCAGCACCATGTAATATGGAAAAATACACCACGGATGTGATGCTCCTGTCTCAATCTGTTACACTAGCATGGGTGGTTGTGTAATTTCCTCTTGTTTCTCTTCTGCAATAGAACCACTCTGCCTGTGCCAAGCGTGGTTTGCAGCTCATGCTTTGAATTAGCTAATGTCACCTGTGGCAGGAGAAAGAGCCTTCAATCTGATCTCATTTAAATGAGGGAGGGCTCTTTCTTATCCTCGGTTTTATTTGTTCCTAAGTTCATTGTTTCCACAGTTCCCCAGTGTCTTAGAAAACTCACTTTTATAATTATCTTTTTCATTTTAACTGTGGTGGGAGCAATGGACTACTCAATTAGATTTAGAAATGGCAAGTATATACTTCTACAAACTGCTCCCATGGACTCCTCCCACAAATTTGTTACCTTCTGAAATCATGAGATAGAAATAGTCACTGATCTATATGTTCCAGTTTCCCATTCAGCTTTAGGAAGTTCTTCCAAAAACGATCTCACTATGGCTTTCAGTTGGGGTCCAAAAATTCTGAAACTATAATCCTCCCTTCTTGAGGGCTTCCTGGGTACCCAGGGGTGATTCCTTAGGAGCTTTCCAATGTCATAGGTGTATACTTATTATCTATAGACTAGTCTAGCATAGTTCCAGTGCTGAGTAGGGACTCAACAAATACTTTTTAAAATCAATAATTGAGATAAACATAGAAAATCAGTTCACTTGATGCCAATTACCTGGTAATTAAATGAGGCTTCAACTGTGACTGAATCTAAATTTTAGACTTTACCTGGACTTGACCATATTTGTTTTAACATTGAATGGTCATATTTTTCTAAAATCAGTATAAAGCAAATTGTTGGGCAAATTGTATAGAATACGTAATTTGAAAAATTAAGTTGACAATCTGAGAAAAAGTGATTTGTATTAATTCATCAAATCCAATTGTAAATTAATTTCATGATAAAATTACTCAATTCTTCCCTGCCCCCTTGCTTTAGAGCCTCTGAGACCATTTGGTTCTAAGTAAAATTTAAAAAAGGAGAAGAATTTTTTGAGTCTCTTAATTTCCTCTATGATGTGTTTCATCTGAAGGAATATTTGAACTTAAATCACTAATCTATATTCAACTAAGTAAAGTATTAAGAGATGTTAAAGAGAAAAATGTGAATCACATTACTCCTGCCTTAGATTAAAACCAACCAACCGACCGACCTTATGCATATGGTTCACTGTCCATATGTTCTTTGGTTGATGGAAGAGTGTAAGTCCACAGAATGACACCAGTTCACACTTGAACCTTTGTCTTGAGATGTGAGGTGATGTGTGTTTAATTGAATCCAATTTCTAATTAAAGAACCAGGAATTGCTTTCCTGGACACTATGGGCATAAAATCTTGTGGTGTGTTTCTGTTAAAAATGAAAATACTGTCTATATTATCTCCTTGCCACTAATACATAGGAGATGGCACCTCTTCCTTATCTTGCCACTGTGGGGTTTTCTTTAAAAAAAACAATAACAAAAAACATTTTACCTAACTGCCATTGTTTATGTATATGTAGTCAAAGATTGAAATAACTGTATCTTCTTGGGTATAAATCCAATCTGCATTGGGTATTGCTTTTTAAATTAAAAATGACAAGTTTACAAAAATTTTCTACATATATTTCACCTAGGGAACCCAAGGAAGAGGAATCCTGCCTCTGAGAATACAAATGTTCTTGCAACTTCTTCTTTTTTTTTTTCTTGTAACTTCTTAATAAGATATCTTTTTCCTTTAAACTAGCCAAATGTGCATTCTTTTCTCTAATAAAGTTTTAGAAAGGGGAGGAGGATACGGGATCTGATAATATATCCTTTCTTGTCCTGTGTCTCAGCAACCTTGGAAGTATCTTGGTCCAGCATTAGAGAAAGAGAAACAATATGGATTGCATATTTAACTCATATATAGAGGGTTATATTTGTGCAATCCCCAGCTGAATATATGATAGTCAAAATTGGTTCCTATGTATAAGTCTGTGAGGTTTCCCACATTTCAGAGATGTACTATAAAACTTAGATGGCAAAATACCTTCTTGTGTTAATTAAATATCCTTTCCAATCTATAAATATTCACTGCAACTAGTGATAGTGAATGAGTTCAGCTGATGGATCACTTAGTTATAGCACTTTAAATAAGAGAGGCAATGAATCTCGTATGAAGAGTATATAGCCTGATTCACATCTGGAACTATCTCTAAATCTAAATATGGTTTTATTTGGGTTCTTAGGGGGATTCAAGGTTCTTTTTTATTATTTTGGAGGTTTAAATTTTTTCGGTTCACCTTGCAAACCAAAAAACACACTTATTTTTTTTACTGTTTTCATGCATTTACATCCTTATTTTGAATAAAAAAGAATTATGGTTTTATATATTTGCTTCACTTTATTTTTATTTGCTTCCACTTTAAAGCATTTTCCCATGTTATTAAATTTTCTCTGAAAACATGATTATTGTGGCTGAATATCACTGAATAGTATTGTAGCATTATAGGTTATTAACCTATTTCTATATTTTGGGGCATTTAGATTGTTTCCAATTTTCACAATTATAAACATTATTGTCTTTTGTCTTTTTGCTTTTTTATTGTTTTCAAAGGAAAGATTCTTAGAAACATCAGTATAAGGAAATGCACTGTTTTAAAGCATTTAATGAATTTATTTCACAGTTCCTACCAACACGTAGTACTTACCTGCTATGGTTTGAATGATGGTATCTCCTCTCAAGTTTAAGTGTTGAATCCTAATAGCCAATGTGATAGTAAGAGGTGAGTACTTTAAGTGATAAGGGTAGTTGGAGTGATTAAGCTATGAGGGTAGAGCATGACAGTTATGAGGGCAGAGGGCATGAATGGATTAGGATCTTGATAAGAGTGTTTGGGTAAGTGGGTTCACTTCCTCTGCTCTTCCCCTCTGGAGGATGCAGCATCTAGAGTTGTGAGAAATAAATTTCTGTTCTTCATAAGTTCCCAGTCTCAGATATTTTGTTATAGTAGCATAAACTAAGACATTATTATATTGAGTTGAATATATCCTTTGGAAATATATATATATATCCTTGAAAGATGCACAATTTTTCATTTCTTGTGTACATGTGTACAAATGACATTATACTCTAGACTTTGTTCAACTTTTCACTCAATCTTTCAAGACTTTTCTGTATTTTCATAAGAGACATTGCTTATATCTGCTGCCTCTTCCTCTCTGCCATTATAAACAACACTGACAAGAATACCCTCAAATATGTCACCTTTGAATTTCTGGGGAGTACGACCTAGAAGTGGAATTCATAAGCTACAGTATTTTCATGATCATTTTTACTAAGGATTGTCAATTTGGTCTTTGTAACTGCTGTACCAATATTTTACATTTATCAACATCACGTTATGGTTTCTAGCCCACATTTTTAATAGTTGTTATTATTATCTAACTTTCAAATTTTATGTGGATGATAGCTATAAAGTGGTACCTTACAGTTGTTAATTAGCATTTGTCTAGATACTTAGTGAGATTTGGCATCTTTCCAATCCTAGTTAGCACTTGGCTTTGCCAGTGTGTAATCTGCCAATTTACATCCTTTGTCCATTTTTCTATGAGATTTCTTTTAATGTTATTTTTTCAAGAATGCTTTGTTATAGTCTGTCCCCCCCACCCCACCCTGCCTTGGGGTTTTTTGTCTTTTGTCAGTGCAAATGTTTTCCCTCAGTCTATTATCTAAACTATTAATGTAATTTGGGTCAAGTAAAACAAACCAAAAGAAAAGGAAACAAAGATTCAGAAGAGGACAAGCATTAATGAGATTTTAATGCACAATGTTCACATTACATGCTATTCTAGTGAGCATTCAGTCAGTCAGAAAATGCATATCAAATACCTGCTCTACACAGGATCTAATAATAATAATAATAATGATAATAATAATAATAATTAATCATCAAGTCCTGTGGAGGCCACAAGGACTTAAACATAGACCCTGTCTTTAGGAACCTCACTTTTCCACATTGGTGGTTAGAGAAGAGAAGAAATATACAAATGGAAAGTAATAAATTCTATAGTTGAAATACCGATAAGTGATGTGTGTTTATGGGGGTTGGGCTTGAAGGCAGAATAGATAAGTCTATGGAAATACCTTATAAACTGTTGGAAGGTGAAACTGACTTTCAGGAGAGGTCAGAGTCCTGTGTGTTAGGAAGGTATTTTGGTAAGAGTAGAAACTATTGAAATGAATGGAATTAGCAAGGAAGGAGCAAAAACAAAGTTGGTAGATTCTTAGGTAATCACTACCTTTCAGGAACTGGGAAAAAAGAAAAAAAAGAAAAAGAAACAGTGTCTTGGAAGGTACATGTGCAGAGTGCTCTTGAGAAAAGAAACTATGCTGGATAAGCTTAAGTTCAGATACCATATATGCTTTTTTTTTTTTTAATTCAGAAATTTTTTAAGGGAATAAGCTACAAATGATGTTAAACCAGAAAAGGAAGCCTGGTCACAAAAATTTGGGTCTCTGAGAGCAAAATAAAGCATTTAGCCAATAACAATTAGTCCTCTGCTTCTCTGAATGGCTCTTTGAATTAATGAATAAGTTGTGTAAGCCCCACATTTTTAATATAAAAGCCTGGAGAAGATAGGCTGTTGGGGAGCTGGTCTTGTTTAATAGACAAGAGAGGGTAGGAAGGAAAACCGAGAAAAGAGAAAATAGGACTTAGATGACTCTGCTAAGGCTGGTGTGTCCTGCCTTTACATATTATGCACTGAGAGCTATACCAAGAATGAGAGAAGGGCCAACCCTTACAGTGTGCAGAGATTGTTATCAATATTGTTATATTGTTACTTGACATTTATTAAGTGCTCATGGCATACAAGGAAACATGCTAAGTCCTTTGCATACAGTGTAGCATTTAATCCATTCACTAACCTGGGGAAGAACATGCAATTATTAATTATATCTTTTAGAGAGGCAAAATGAGAATTAGAGTTAAGAACTGACAGAGCCAGCACAACATGTTAAGTTTGAAGCTCTTGCTTTTGAAAAAAGTGCCACGTAACTGGTGATATAAAATATCATCAGTACCTTAAGAGGGAACACCTTCAGTGTACATTTAAGGGTTGAAATAATCTTGGCAGAGGTTAAGAGCTGATTGGGTGGTAAGAAAATGGAAGCAGTAAATGCAACTACCATTTCCAAAATTTGATGCTGAAGAAGAGTGACACTGGAGTGAAGAAATTAAAAGAAAGTTTTTGCTTAATTTATATTCTGAGGTTAATGTGCCATGGATAAATTTGTAGGGTGAGAAGAGATAGATTAGAAAGGAGTCAATTGATAGATGAATGTCCTGAAATTGGAAAGAGAGTAAGAATTCATAAGCACATGGAAGGAGTAACCTGGAGACTAATATTTACAGGAGAGAATCTTGGGCAAAAACACAGAAAATATAGTTAGGTGGCAGTAGAACACTTACAGGGACATATTGCAGTGCACTATTAGTAAATTGTGAAGTTATGTGCTCAAAATCATGATGATGGAAATGGAAAATGTTTGTAATGGATTCTGCAGGAAATGAGATGGAGAGTCAATTAAAAGTGAGTCAAAAGCAAACTGAGCTATAGATAAAATAATATTAAGGCTGGAATGTCAGTCAGGGTTTAGCTGAGAGGAACAGAACCCACTTTTACCTATTTTAAGCAGAGGCAGACTGAATACAGGTGGATGCCTACAAATCTTCGGAAAGTTTGAAGTAGCAGACTCTAGGCTAAACTTCCAGGAATGACTCCCATAAGCACATTGAAGATCTAGCTTGTCAGGAAAGCTGTGAGCTCCACTGCAATCAGGAAGAAAGGGAGAAAGGAAGGCACTGGGGAAACACAGGCTTCATAATATACCCTCTTACCATCACATAACTGTTGGCTCTGAAAAAGTGCCACTCCTCATAGATTCTCACCAACTGAGAATAAATGACCCACACTTCTGCCTCTTGGTCCCAGCCAGTATCTGAGCTCTAAGCATCTGGGAAATGTAATTTTTAGCTTCACAGACTCTGCACTACAGGAAGTCACACCAGAAGGAGACTGGAGGGGATGTTGAGCATGGAGCTACCATAGCTGTTACAGATGATTAGCATAAATATATTGCAAATTACAATTCAGGAAGAAACTAGCTTATTGTGCTTACCCTTTCCAGTAAAATCAATGGTCTGTGGACAAAATTGAAGAAAGTGGGTAATTTGATGTGGAAGGTAAGGAAGCAAATAGATCAAGGTGCTCTGTATAGAAATAACTGATTATGTGATCTAGATGAAGCATGTAGTTAAATGTGGCCAGCAGAAATCAATGAAATATGAGGATAGGAATACACCAGATGAGTGTAATGTTGATAATGCAGACTTTGGCCTTCAAAGCCAAAAAAGCACAGGACATCACAAAATATAGTATTCGTGTTTTGAGAAAGAGTGTTCTTAATGATTTCAAGTACAACATGTTTAATGTGATGCTTGGGCCCACTGATGTCCCATATGCCTATAAGAAAAACTAGTCAAGATGCAAAGTGACAGCATCCACCAAAGCACACATCAATTAGACTTTTTCTTGGAGATCCATACATGTATATCAAAGAGAGAAAGGAAGAGGGAAACATTGACACACATTTGGTTACAAATAATAGAATTCTGTGTTTGGTTCACACACTTTTGTATCTATGAGATTCATAGGTAAATCATGAGCCATATATACAATTTCTAAACAGGATAAATGTTTGAGTTGTCATTTGTTGTTTTAATGACCTTCTGATGCAATTAAAAAAAAGTGAAAGTGTATGCCTACAAGGAATTTCACATGTTTTATGCACTCAATTCATATTTATATAGTTAAGAAGTATTCATAATCTTCACAGTCAACCTATTAGCATTTCTCCTTAGGTTTTTCTGTTTCCTACAAAAGACGTGCTGTTTTGTTTCTAATCCATCTGGGGATGGGGAAGGAAGGAAGGAGGCTTCAGATTCTTCAGATGCATAAGATTTGACATGGGCTGCAAGTCTCCACTTCCTGGTGGCTTCCCAGCAGATGCCTCAACCATGACTTCATTGAATTCCAGTTGTATGTCTGCAAATCTCTCCTTTTGTAAGATTTCCCTTTATCTCTGAAAAGAGGCAGTGAAGTTTGCTTTCCCCAGGCTCCTTTGATTTCCTCCCAGTGCCTCCAACGTCAACAGAGCACTCTGGGGGCAGTCCCCTGTGTTGTTCAAACAAAATAAAGGAGAATATTCAGTGAAAATATCTTCTTTCCAACACTCTTTTTTTTTAAAGGCCTAGTGCATGATTAAAGGTTTACTGCCTGCTTATCTGGAAGATACTGCTTTAAAATCTTTGGATGTTGAAAAATACATACTGAAAATGGAATAAATCCGATTTAGGTAACACAAAAATACAATCACACAATTAAAAAAAATACTAGGGCACTACTCTTTTCATGAGGAGTACAAGAGAAAGACTGACAATGAATCCTTCAAGGATGGTTTATCCTTTAAAGAAAAAAAATCACAAACAGGTACAGGGAACAAACTGCTGCCTTTGGAGAGTCATTGTTTTGGGTAATCCTTATGGGAAGGGATTGTCTGACCAAAATCTGTTGCAGATACAGGTATTTCTTCATAGGCACCTGTAAATATTTATCAGTGAGGATGGTTAATAGACAAGCCATCTAGTGCCCCCGATCCTCAGAACTCAATAAGGTCTGTATTGTTATTGCTCAAGAGACTTCTCTGGTATAAACTCTGATACTCAGTGTATATGTTGATGCAAGATGAAGGTCCCAGCTAACTCTGAAGGAATAAAAATATGCAGGTGGGGGTAAGGAAGAAAAGTCATCTCCTTTGACAAATGCACAGTCCTTGGTTAACTTCTCATTAGCAGTCTGCTCACATCTCATTCCCATTAAGAGTATTCCGTTTTCTTTGTCTAAAGTGTTGAGTGGTTATGAATAGTAAGGATAGACTATCTGTAATTATTTTTTAATTATTAATGGTTTTGTTAGATCCTTTCACTTTTACATTACATTTCTGTTAATGTAAGTTAAATCAAAATGTACTGCAGTTCCAAAGCTGTTCCCCAATGTATTTTTCATTCTTTCATAACATTACTTCAGATTTCTATGAGGTGTCTATAAAAAAAAAATCTTGCTTCTATGGAGTCCCTCTCACCATGTTAACACAATCAGGTACTATTTAGTGATAGAAATCTACTGACCATACCATTGGCTATCATCAGATTGCCAAATTCCCAGTGGTACCTAATGCCAGAGTCACAGTATATACAAAAGTCATTTGATCTTAGCCAGCATTTTTAAACTAAGACAAGAACATCTACTTTATCTGGTGCCCCCAGATGAGAGATCTTTGAACACTTTATGCATATTAAGATTTTCCATTAATTAGAAACTAAAGGAGAGGAGAAACAAGTGTTTGAAAGGAATAGATATCAGGGGAAGAAATCAGTGTCCAGTGCATTGAAGACTGGTTTAGGAAGAGCAAATACTAAGTACTTAATTGTTAGGAAGATAACAACACTTCAAGGAAAAAGTTAACAATAATTAAAAAAACTTACCTGGAAAGAAAGAAAAAAATCCATCCTTCAACCAATTTTCCCATCACCCGTGGGAAAAGTGCCACCAGTATGGCACTTTCTGATAATGCACTGTTCCCTCAGAGAAATTGCCCTGGCTTCTATTTACTAAGAGGCCTGGTTTCAGATCTAGTATTAAGCAACACAAAAATTTTTAAATAATAGCCTTAGTGAATAAAAAGAGAAGAGAGGATGTATGAACTTTTACATTTATTAATTACACACAACGCTCTGCCCTGGGGATTCCTGTCTGCAAAGGAAAGCTGGTCAGCTGTGAGGAGTGGCAGGAGGCTGGAGCCTAGTGTACAGGACAAAATTCCCAGGCTGAGTTGGAGGGCAGGAACCTCAAGGAGCCCACAAAGGGGGCCCTGATAGGATCGTAGCCGGTTCGTAGCTAAAAGTATAGAGTTAACATACACTGCACCGAACACAAAAGCTACTAAAAAATGACTGGATAAATTATGCAGAAGGATTTCTGGATTTCTTTCAAGTAATTAAGTTTCGATTTCTTACATTTATTTTAGTTCCTTCCAGGAAGCGCAAGGCGCCATGGATTGCAGAAGTCTTCATTGATTGTTCCAATGCTTTAAGTTTGGTTTCGTGACTGGACTTAACTTTGAGAAGAGGTAAAGACGTGGACCAAGGAAATTCACTGCGACGAAAACGAAACAGTTGTGTCCCTGGACAAGCAAACACAGGGGGGAGACAAGTCTGCCCTCACCCCCAAGCGAAGCACCCCCAAGCGTAGCACAGGAAGAGCAGAGAAGCAAGTAAGAGCGTCTGAGCGAGTGTTCCCGAGTGTGAGCGTGTGTGTGTCTGTGCGTGTGTGTTTGTGTGTGTGTGCGTCCTTGTGAAAATGTGTGAATTTGCGTCCCTGCTCTCTGGAAGGTTGGAGTTGGATACCGATGGCTGGAGTCGTGGCTTCAGGCAAATTTTGGTTTTTTGGTACCTTCAATCAGCTGTCCCCACGTGGGAGTTCCTGACCCCGCTCAAGCTCAATCCCAGCAAACCTACCTGGTGGGTTCCTGAGGTCGCCTAAGGAGCCTCGGAGGCATCCAGCTGCCCTGGGACTGCCAGGCTCACGCATTCCCTGCCTCCAGGTCCGCTTTCCTTGAAACCGAGCTCTGCTCTTCTCTCTCCACCGGGAAAAGAGGGGGGGAGCCCCTGCTTTCTTTTCTGCGGTGCCTCCCCTCATTCCTTGTCCTTGCTTAGCCTCTTTCGACCTAGACAGAGCCCTAAGTGGCTTGTTTGGCTACTACAGGCCCCTAGCCCAGGCTCAGGTCCTGGTGGATGTGGAGATTCCTGGAGCTCGCTTACTTCTTGCGTTGGGAGGCTGTCAGCGAGACTTAGCTAGAAAGACACAGAGAGGAGGCTGCAGAGGTGCTGGTCATCTTTGAGTAAAATAGGGGCTCCTTCTAACCTCTAGGCAAAGGGGATTTAGGGTTCATGGGAGCCACTGAGGAAGGAAAGGGACAAGCACAGGGTAGTGGTGGACATACTCAGAAGATGTTGGAACAAAATGCACCAATCACTTCTTAACCATGGAGCCCTATCTCAACACTCCAGGCCAGGAGCGCCCTTTCCCCGCACCTCATTCTGTGGCCAGGTCCCCGGGAGTCCCCTGAAGTCTGGGTCTCAGGGATAATGTTCTTCTTCCCTGGAACACCCATATCCGAGGAGTTTAAGCCACCAACCAGTTCCCTCTCATCTGCCCCAAGTCACGGAGTCCGGAAGGGAGCTCCGGACGCTCATCTTCTATTCAGAATATGAAGGAGACTGGCTGATCTTGAAATCCCTATAACGCTGGAAATGGGATGACAGAATCGGTCCTTTCCCTCTTTCCTCCAACAACCCCTGCCTCCTCAAGAGCACAATGGCGCACAATAGGGCCAGATCTATCTTTTGAGAAATCTTTCTCTTGGTCCAATTCAATTCTGTTTGCAATACAAAGAAATCACATTGCCCTTAATAGATTAAATTTTAATAAAACACATTAGGTCCGGTAAAATATGAATGTGCTGCTTAAAATTTTAATAGTAAATTAAGACCCAGAAACAAGGAGGAGACAGTGATTTCTCCCGTCGAGTTGGCTTGGGCGCGGGTCGACGGTGGTGGGCAGCCTATGGCTCGGACCGGCTGCTGGGAAGCACTGGTGGATTCCTCCTTGCGCGCGGGAGGGAGGCGGTTCACATCTGTCCGCATCTGCCAGCGAAGGGGACTGAAGCTATTGTCAAACAAAGAGGCTTGGCGAAGAGAAGGACGCTCCTGGAACCACACAGTTGATGCATTCCCCATCCCTGTGCTTTCTAGTTTCTAGTTTCTCGGTTTTCCGTTTACTTAGCTAAGTCTGTAGATGTGCACAAGTGCGGATGGGGCTTGGGCATGCGAGAGTACGTTGAGGTTTTAGGAAGCACGTTTCTAATCTAGAGCCATTTGCTTCCACCCCTGGGGTTTATTGCCAACTTTCCACTTGTTTAGATGGCCCCTGCTAACTAGGGGGCTGGAGTCCTTCCTCCAAGAGCAGCTTCCACTTTCGCTGGAGCACTTCGCAGCATGCCTGTGGGCAAAACCGAAATGTGTTTTATTGATATCACGGCACTGACGTTGGTATTCTGGACACTCCTGAAGGAAGAGATTGCAAGATTGCAAGTCGTGGTGATGAAGGGAGAATTGCATTTTCCCTCTAATGCAACACAATCACTGTTGTTCATTTTTCACTTTGAGTGGGGAAAAAAAAGAAGTCTAGCTCTGACTTGACTTTTTAAAAATGTATGTGTTTTCTAGCAGGAAGAAAATACAGGTAAACAAACTCTTGAATTGCTCTACCATCACATATTAGTTTATCTCTACTCGAGAGCTGAAAAACAAGGGTTTCCTTTTTTTTTTTTCTTGTCTGGAATTAGAGATATTATTAAGAAATATCTGAGAAATGAAAAAAGTGGTATTAAGGTTAATTTAATGACATATGGATTTGAATAATCAGGAAAATATTCTCTTGGGAATTTTCTTGCTTAAAATAATTTTAGTCAATTCACTCCATATCAAACAAAGTTTGTCTGGTCATTTCAAGAGTGCCCTCTCTATTTCATAAATTTATTATGCCACCTTATTTACCATACGAAGTGGTGACAAGTGTTTAGCATTTTGGAGATCAGTTGTCAGTTGCTATTAAAATCAAGATTAATTCATATTAACGATATGCATTTCTCAATACTCCCAGGTGACAACATACATTAAAACAACTATTGCAAGTAATTAAGCTCAATGAAGGAGGAGGGGACAAGGAGAGGTTCAAAACACCCCAAATATTTGATTTTGCAATTCAAGTTCAGCAGACTGTTGCCACAATAATGCTTGGGAAAATCCTCAGGGTTGCTTTTTACTTTACATCTAATTAGGCACCTAATGAAAGAGAAGAATTTTTTCCCCCTGTGGTTTTTCTCCTTGATATTCTTGTGCTTTTATTTAAACACATAAACACACTATTTAGGAATTGTAATACCCAAAAGTTTCTCCTGTGACTCACCTACTATAATAATCTGGAATAATGGTAGATGAAGACATTTGTCTTCCTGTTATTATCCTTTTTCACTCTCACTTTGGTCCTTTGGCCCTTACAAAAGTACAGATAGAAAACACACCCAAAATATTTTTATGACTTTTTATTAAGCTTTTGAAATACTTAGCAGTTTATCCTAATTAGATCACCCAAAGCCTTTTGAAGATTAAGCAAATTGGACAACGCTTGTTAATTAGAACATAATTTGAAGTTTGAAATTATATCACTGATGAAGTGGTCTAATTAGTATGACGATATGTTAATGGACCAGTGAGACACAGGGGCAGTGGAGTTGGCATGAACCTCTCCAAGGCTTGCACGAAAATTCTCCCTACTATACCAACATTAATAAAAGATTTCTATAGACTTCAGCCTCTCCACGATGACATACAATTTATAGTATACACAATGCATTAGCCCATAGTGCTGCTCAATTTTTTCACTATTATGAAAACTAATAAATTCGTCAAGCTGAATTAAGCATACAAATCAGATGAGGCACAGCAGATTACACAGTGAAGCGCGGCGTCTCCCGAGTCTAAATGAAATTTCAATCTAATAATTCCTTCCTGGCCCAGTCATAATTTGTTTAGAGATGTTGTTCTACTTCTTTCAAAGCGCTGTTCGCACTATAATTAAATGATACTCAAGCTTTTAACTTTGATTTATTTCATTTTGCGAAGCTTAAGACAGTGAGAGCTATACAATGTTATTTTTTTTTTTTATTTCCTTGAAAATTATCCTGGCCGTTGAGGTAGAAATTAAACACCTAAGCACTTACTTGAACCGTCCGGCACAAGTCAGGTTCATTCATGTCAACACCCCCCTCTCCCAGTCTAGCACTCAGGCTTCTGCAGGCTCACACTCAGGGACACTGCTTCTAGGAATCCCCTTTGGCTGTATTTATTATTTCCCTCCACACAAGGGCAGAGAAAGGCAAGCCCGAGAGTGGGAAGGAAAGCTAAAGGGATTTAAGGACCATGGACAGAGCCCACCGCGCACTCTAGCTGTGGGTTTCGAATTATGCCGATTAACTCCCCAGGACAGCTCTCCCAACTTGAACCCTTCCCGCTCAACCGAGGTTAGGGGCGGACAGACACCTCCCGATTCGCCGCTACCGCCGCGGGGCTTCCGTGTGCTGACCACCCGAGGGTTCTCACTTTCCACGCTCCTTTCCACTTTGTTTTTGTCCTAGCGCGCGCCAGCGTCTCTCAGGCCTGCCGCCTGCTCTCGCACCTGCTCGTCTTCCCCAGGCGCCTAGGGCCTGCACCTGCTCCTGGTCAACCCTGTCCGGTTTGGGCCACCCGCGGGTTCCTGAGTCCGGGTCACAGGGCCTTCTCACCCTTGCTGGCACTCCGCGCCTTTCGAGCTCTGGGGAGACGACAGCAGCTCCCAACACCGCAGAAAGTAGAAAGGAGATGGGAGCGTGAGGGTGAGGAAGGCGATGAGTTTGTGCATGTGTTATGTTTGTGTTTGTGCGTGTGTGTGTGTGTGTGTGGGGGGGTGTTTATCGCCTTCTTTTGCAATTGGAACTAAGAATGTGCGTCCATTTCCAGGAAAGTGGTCTGGACCTGCACAAAAGTGCGGGTGAAGTGTCGGCTAAAAATATTCTCTCCAGGCGCGGAGCGACAGTGGAAATGAAGATAAGTGGGGCTTGTGCCAGCCCCCGAGGGTGTGTGCGCGCGCGTGTGTATGTTGTGGGGGGTGGTATGCGGCAGCACATGCGCTCTGTAATTTCTGGTCCTCCTCTTCCTCTGTCAGTTACCCTTCTTCCTTTGATTGTAGCTAATGAAGAATAATAAATCCAGAGGCAGGGTTTGCCAGTGGATCCTCCCAAGACCCATCTTACTGTGTATTGAATACAGGGAAGAGGAGGAGAAAGAGAAAGGGGGAGGCAAGAGGGAGGGAGTGAGTGTGTGTGTGTGTG